TAGATAGATAGATAGATAGATAGATAGATAGATAGATAGATAGATAGAAAGAAAGAACCAGGCCATCGCTTCACACCTGTAATCCCATCACTCAAGATGTGAGAGGAGGGGAGAGCTCAATGGATAAAGCACTTGCCTCACAAATGTGAGGACCAAAGTTTGAATCCTAAGAACCCAAGTAAGTGATGTGCATGGCTGCCCTCATTTCAGCACTCAGAAGGCAGGATCTCCAAAACAATCTAGCTAACAAGATGAGCTGAAAGACCCTGCCTCAATGAGTAAGAGCAATTGAGAAAGACTCTTTATGTCAGTCTCAGGCATCCACATGCATATTCAAACACATATACCATACACACATGCAACAGTGAATGGCAGGCACTGCCTTTAGTTGTTTTTGCTCAACAGAAGTCCCAGCCTTCCTGGGATTCCAAAGAGTAGAAGTTCATTGACCTCAGCTAACTTCAAAGTGCATTTAAAATTTTCCTGAATGTGTCAAATAGTTTCACAGTTCTAAAATATGGTCTATTTTGGAGGTAAAACTATATTTTGAAATTTGAAAGGCCGATTTATAAATAATGAGCCTATTGGGGTTTGGCTGTGTTGAACCCTGTGTGTCAGAGTAGCTTCATTTGGAACGGTTTCTGTTAGGAATATTTTCAGATAGAATCTAGTCCAGGGTCTAAGAAGTGGGCTTCGTTCTGCACTAAATATTTTGGGTTTAGTTTTGGTGTTTCTGTTTTTTGAGACAGGGTCTCTGGCTGGCCTAGAACAAACAATGTATACCAGGCTGGCCTTGAACTCAAAGAAATCCACCTGCCTTTCCCTCTTGAGGGCTGGAATTAGTGTGTGCCACCACACATGATTGCAGTAAATCTTTTAAAACTGCTTTGATACACTCCAAGCTGGCCATAATGCGCAAGCCAGGCTACTGTGGAGGCACTAATGCTTTAGCTCAGAAGTCCAAGCCAGCATAGACAACAAGGTTAGATCCCATCTCAAAAAATCAATCACTCTGCAATGGCTTTCTGCATGGTGATGCATTGATCCTTAGATGTTCTGCTGTCAGTACCCTTGATAACCAAAACCATCTTTCTCCATTTTTAGAAACAAACACATGCCTTGGCATGTGCCTTGAATCTCCGAATTGAGGAGGCAGAGGCAAGCAGATCTCTCTTAAGTTCCAAGCCATCCACGGCTACCTTGTCTCTAAAAAGAAGGACAGGAAGGAAGGAGGGAGAGAGGAAGAGGGGGAAAGAAAGAAGGAAAGGAGGAAGGAAAAAAAGAAAGACATACAGGAGGTGTGTGTTTTGGATCAGTCCCTTAATCCCAGAATTCAGGAGGACAAGTTTGAGGCAAGTGTAAGCTACATAGTAAGACTCAAAGATATATAACCTAGGGGTAGCTTAGCAGTAGCAATTGTGGAAGGCTTCTAGTATGTACAAGGCCTTAGCTTTGATCTCCAGCACTTCCCCAAAACCGACACAGGAATCAACTTTTGAAGTACCTCGTATGGGAATGAGCACTCCCTCCAG